GCTGGGAGCCAGGACTCCTGGGTTCTCGCCTGGCTCTGGGGGGTGGCCGTGGGGGCTGGGGGGTTAGAGCAGGGGGGCTGGGAGCCAGGACTCCTGGGTTCTCGCCTGGCTCTGGGGGGTGGCCGTGGGGGCTGGGGGGTTAGAGCAGGGGGGCTGGGAGCCAGGACTCCTGGGTTCTCGCCTGGCTCTGGGGATTGGCAGTGGGGTCTGGTGGGTTACAGCAGGGGGCTGTGAGCCAGGACTCCTGGGTTCCCTCCTGGCTCTGGGAGGCTGGGAGTAAGGACTCCTGGGTTCCATTCCTGGCTCTGGGGCGCAGTGGGGTCTGGGGGGTTAGAGCAGGGGGGCTGGGAGCCAGGACTCCTGGGTTCTCGCCTGGCTCTGGGGGGTGGCAGTGGAGTCTGGTGGGTTACAGCAGGGGGCTGGGAGCCAGGACACCTGGGTTCCATCTCTGGCCTTGCTGCTCACTCTGTGTGACCTGGGGGGACACACTCTCTCTGACAGGTTCCCAGCAGTAATGCTGCCTGGGCTCAGGGCGGGGGGCCAGATCTCTGCCCCACCCACAGGTACCTCCTCCAGGGCCTTGCCAGGAACACGGCCTCCGGCCAGTGCCCCCAGCTCCCCCGGGCGGAGCTGCCCGCAGACCCAGGAAGGCGAAGGACACCGGGGGAAAGGCACGGGGGGAAGGGCGAAGTGGTGGCAGCAGCTCCTGGCATGCTGACGAGCCTGTGCCCTGGCAGCGGCACCCCCAAGCCACGTCGTCCTGCCCTGAGCTGCAGAGAACCGCCAGTTGGTGCCCCCCTCCAGGGCAGCTGGCACCAGCCCCAGGCCCGACAATGCTTCCCCCTTCCTCTCCGAGCCACCCCTTCACTCAGCAGAGAGACCTGGGAACAAGGCTGGACCCACGGGACCGTGGCCGCCCCACAGGGACCCAGCCCCTCCCTCTCTGGGGCAGCCCACCCCACGGGGACCAGCCCTCCCGCTGCAGGAGGGCACTGCTCTGGGGAAGCTTGCACCGCTGGGGTCCCTGCCTGCTCTGGTGCTCCCCAGGTGACGGGCATGGCCCGGGGCCGGCAGTAGCTGGGTGTGTGAGGCGAGGGCAGGGCCCTCCATGGGTTAAGCCCTCCCCATGGGCCAGGGGGGCTGAGGGCAGCTGGCAGGCGGGGGGCTGGGGCCTACAGACCAGCACCAGGCAATACAATGGGCAGAAAAATGACCATGGAGCCGTAACATGCACCTGTGGGCCCCTCGAGCAGAGGCAGCAGCACCTGCCCCACCCCAAAACCCACCTCCCCTCCAGGAGACCCCCACATCCTGGGCAGGGAGGGGCTGACCCCCGTGCTCAGCTCCAGCACCCTCAAACCAGGGGTCGGGGAGGCAGCGCCTGGGGACCCCCCCCCCAGGACCAGCACTGCACGGAGGGGTGGGGCGCTGCGAGATGGGCCCCAGACCAGCTGGCCTGGCCCATCCCGCCCCCCCCCCCCTCTGCCAGGCCCACCCTGCGGGTCTTGTTCGGGGGCGGTGGGAAGGGCTGACTGCAGAGGCCATATTGCCCCAGAACAGCCCCTCCCCAACGGGGCTCTGGCTTAGGATGCCCCAGCGCTGGGACAGAGCCCTGGACATGGGCTCTGGGCAGGACCTGGCCCTGGCGCAGGGTGGGGGCTGCAGGGCGGCCTGGCCCAGTGATGCTGGGTCCCTGTTCTTTGCCCTGGGGGGCTCGTGGCTCTGGCAGCGCCACTGTGGGGAAGTCCAGTGCAAGGCCCCACAGCCAGCCAACGGGATGGGCAGCTCCCCACACGCCTCCCCTGCAGGGTGTGCTGACTGCTGCCCCCACCTGGACACTGAGAGCTGTATCATTGGCGAGCTCAGCGCCCTGGTGCCAGGGTGGGGGACACAGGCACGGGGGGGGGGGGGGGAGGGGAAGGACACAGCACCTCCCCAGCACAGCGCCCCCTGGTGCCAGGGTGGGGGACACAGGCACAGCCGGGGGGGACGGGACCGGACACAGCACCTCCCCAGCACAGCGCCCCCTGGTGCCAGGGTGGGGGACACAGGCACAGCCGGGCACCCTGCCCCCCACCTGCCCGTGTCCAGCCCCTGCTAGCCCAGCCCTGGAGAGTGCCTGGCACTTGGGCTAGTTTCTGCTGATTGTCACCCCGTGAATGGCAGCTGCTGCCAAAGGAGACCCCCCAACTCACTGCACAGGTCCCTGCTGAGTGCCCCCCTCCCCACCCGCTCAGCTGGACGCTGCACCAGCCCCCGGCTGCCTCTGGCCCAGTCGGGCCCCACAGCTCTCAGGCCAGAGCCAGCCTGGCTGAAGGGGAGGGAACGGGAATCCAGGTGGTTACACGATAGCAGGTGCTCTGCCCTGGAGCAGCGAGACCAACACGTGCCAGAGGCTGCAGGGCTCCAGTGCCCCCGGTCTCCACAGTGCCAGCCCCAGTGCGCACAGTACAGAGCCAGCCCGGGGCCTGGCCTCTGCCATCAGGGGCCCGGGGCAGGGCTGTGGGGGAGCTCCCGGCTACTCCAGTCCCAGCCTGGGGCGCTGTGCGGGGCAGGGCAGGGGGCTGGCTGAGGGGGGGAAGCTCCCAGCTACTCCAGTCCTGGCACGGGGCGCTGTGGGGGGCAGGGCAGGGGGCTAGCTGAGGGGGGGAAGCTCCCAGCTACTCCAGTCCCAGTCTGGGGCGCTGTGGGGGGCAGGGCAGGGGGCTAGCTGAGGGGGGGAAGCTCCCAGCTACTCCAGTCCCAGTCTGGGGCGCTGTGGGG